TCCGCCTCGCTCGCGCGCTACCGCGCATGCTCCAGTTCCGGGTCACGTGACGCCTGTCATGGCCGCCTCCGTGGCCCGGGGTGGCGTGAGTGCTGGGTTCTTGCTGCGGGTGGCCAAAGGTCGCTGGTGGAGCCGTTCTGGGGGCTTTTGGGGACCCGGAGAGGCGGCGTCACCAGCGACTGCCAGGAAATTCCGGGTGACAGGTACCTGCGGCGCCTCGGGTCCGGGGTTGGGCAGCACTAACCCGTCGGATGCCCGCAGGGCGCTGCGCGCGGCTCACCCAACTGTGTTTTCCAGGCTCGCGCTCGGCGGGGGAGGAAGAACCGAGCGGCCCCGAGCGGCCTGGGGACGTGTGAGTGCGGGTGGGGGCGGGAGGACTCCCCACTCCTCATCCCACGAGGTTTTCCCGGCCCCCACCTTCCCCGCACCCTCACCGTTAGAGTCCCCCTGCGCTCCGTCCTGTTTCCCTTCCCTAAGCCTGGACTCCACCGGAACCCGGGCCCGCGTCCATGCGGCATCCGCATCCCTCTGTCCTCAGGGTGAACGTGGTGTTCGTAGACCGGTCGGGCCAGCGGATCCCGGTGAGAGGCAGAGTCGGGGATAACGTTCTCCACCTGGCCCAGCGCCACGGGGTGGACCTGGAAGGTGGGAGCCAGGCACAGGGAACTCCGAGGCCCTTCATTCCTTGAAAACAACAACACACACCCATTAGTTGTCTCTCTGCTGATTAACCCTCCATGGCTTCCCACGGTCCTGGGCTCAATCTAGACTCCTCAGCACTGCCTCATCCCCTGCCCAGGGAGCTCTCAAGGTTCCTTCTCCGGCTTTGTTTATTGAGCATTTACTGGAGGCCATGACAACTCCTGCCTGGGAGCTTGTGTTGTCTTTCTCTTTCCTTCCTCTTCTCGCCACACTGGCTTTCTTGCTGTTCCTCAAACTGCTTAGTTCATTCCTGCCCCAGGACCTTTGCATTTGCCGTCCCAGGGTCTGAAGTGATTTTCCATCAGATCTTCTGGTTTCTTCTCATCCTTCACTTCTCAGTGTAAATGTCATCTTCCTGACAAAGCATCCCCTTCAGTGGACCTAGAGTGGCCCAGCCTCCCTCTTACTTGACTGTGTTTTATTGTCCTCATAGCACTTCTCACCATTTTGTTTCCTTCTTTGTCATCTCTCCCCGGAATGAGATCAGAAACGCTGTTTTCCTTGTTTACATGTATCTGTTGCCTCTCATGGTATTTAGACACAACAGGTATTAAGTCAGTATTTGTTGAAGGAAAGATAATAATAGCAGACATTACTTTAAGCATGTTGACACATATTAACTGACTTTTCATGACAACTTTATGTCATAGTTTGTTTTATTTATATATTATCATTTTATTTATTTTTATTTTCAAATATATATATTTTTTTATTTCAGAAAGGAAGGGAGAGGGGGATAGGAACATCAGTGATGAGAGAGAACCATCAATCAGCTGCCTCCTACACGCCCCCTACTGGGGAGTGAACCTGCAACCCTTGCATGTGCCCTGACCAGGAATTGGAACAGTGACCTCCTGGTTCATGGATTGAGCAACACTGGCCAGGCAGATTATCACATTTTATAGGTGAGGAAATTGAGTCCCAGGTTACGTACACCTGGTCCAAGGTGAAGTGGCAAAATTAGATTCAAACCCAGCAATTTTAGCCACTAAACCTATGCTGCTCTTCTATGAATATTGAACACTAGTGTGTGCCAGGCAACAATGTACTAAAATAGGTAAGGCTCCTGTCATTTCACACCAGTTTCAACCTAATAGGGAGTAAACATGTAATTATATCATCAGCAACTGAAAAGGATGGTCTGAAAAAAAAAGTACAGGGTTATTTGTTGGGTGAATGTAATAGGGAAGCTGATTTAGTCATTAGAGAGGTGGAGATGTTGGGGGTGGAGTGCAGGTTATGGCAGGCCTTCCTCAAGTTTTGTTCTGGAATCCAGTAGCTGGCAGTCTAGGACATAGATTGGAATATGAGTTTTAGAGGCAGGTGGCCTGTTTTCAAATTTTGCCTTTTACCAGCTGTGTGACCCTGAGCAAGGTACTTAGCACCTTTGGGCCCCTGTTTTCTCACTTATAAAATGGGATAACTTAGTTCCCTCTTCCTTGGGTTGCTACAGAAGAGTAAACAGATCTCATGTGTAATGCTTAGTACCTGGCACATGGTTATGTGTAGTGACTAATTGGGACATTTATATTAGACTAGAGGCCTGATGCACGAAATTCATGCATGGGGGGGTGTGTCCCTCAGCCCGCCTGTACCCTCTCCAATCTGGGACCCCTCGAGGGCAGTTGGACATCCCTCTCACATTCCAGGACTGCTGGCTCCCAACCGCTTGCCTGCCTGCCTGATTGCCCCTAACTCCTTCTGCCTGCCAGCCCGATTGCCCCCTAACCATTCCTCTGCCAGCCTGATCACCCCTAACCACTCCCCTGCCAGCCTGATCGACACCTAACTGCTCCCCTGTCAGCCCGATTGCCCCTAACTGCCTTCCCCTGCTGGCCTGGTTCCCCCCAACTGCCCTCCCCTGCAGGCCTCGTCCCCCCCAAATGCCCTCCCCTGCAGGCCTGATCGCCCACAACTGCCCTCCTCTGCTGGCCATGTTGTGGTGGCCATCTTGTATGTTGGCGTGATGGTCAATTTGCATATTACTCTTTTATTAGATAGGATCATCTTGATCTCAGGAATGAGGATGCTAACAAGGTGGGAAACAGGGTGAAGGAAGAGATGCTAGGGACCACTTGGAGTTTGAAGGCCTGATTTCTCCCCGGTAGACAGGGAGGTTCTGCTGGGTCAGGAGGCTGCCTTGCTTCTCTACTCTCATTATCCGACATGTCTGGAAGAGAAAGGAAAATATTCTGTCCTGTCATTCGCTTATAACAGATGTCTCTCAAGCATCTACAACATGCCATATGAGGCTCAGTGCCAAGTACAGAGAGAGGAAGACAGGTTGACAGGGTGTGATCAATGCTGTACAGAAATTAATAAATTAACAAGGGGGAAGGACAAGAAACAGGCAGGGGGACTTGGAGGACAGCTGGGTTCCTGAGTACAAGATCTGGCCACAAAAAGAGTGGCGAGAAGAGCATTCCAGGCCGAAGGTATAGCAAGTGCAGCGGTCCTGTGGTGGTGGCGGCAGCGAGCCCAGGGAGCCAGTGTGGTTGATGTGGAGTGAGTGAAGGGGTGGGGGAGCCACCAGGACTGCGTGGAGGAGTCTGGATTTTATTCTGGCTGTGAAGACCCTTTGGAAGGTTTTAGCCCAAGAGGGACATTATCCCCAAGCACAGTTCTCAGTCATCAGTCAGAGGATTGGGAATGTGTCCAGGGACAATCAGAAAACCCCAGCTTCTGCCTTTATTTCCTGTCTCCTTCCCCTCATGCACTGGTGCTGAGTGAGCCAGTCCCTCCTTCAGGAGCAGAAAGGAGGCAGGAACACATTTGCCCAGCACAGTGACAGCAGGGGAATTCAAAGGCTACTGGGAACCTGCCTGGCCTTTCCCTCTCAGCTTGCTGGGGAGTCCTTGGGAAATGCGACACCTTGGACATCCCTTTGCAAAACCCATCCACAGCCCAGGAACAGCGGGCTGAGAGGAGGGGGGGAGGGCTCCCACAGGGCATACAGGCGGGAGGGAAAGATTAGGGGCACGTGGTGAAACAAAAGGCTTCTCCCTTATGTCTTTCATTGGGTGACACCAGCCTGATGATGCCACTTACCTAAACTCCCTTCACTTGCTGCCCTCCAGGGGCCTGTGAGGCGTCCCTGGCCTGCTCCACCTGCCATGTGTATGTGAGCGAGGACCACCTGGACTTTCTGCCTTCTCCTGATGAGAGGTGAGCGGGCAGCCTCCTCGCAGCTCGGAGCCGCAGGGTTGGCTGTTGAGCCTTTTCCTTCCCAGTGTCCAGAGGTCCACTGGGCAGCCGCTGAGGGCAGCCCCAGCTTTTCTCCCCCTCTAACCCTTCCCCTGGACTCAGTCAGCCTGCCCCTCCCTGGCCTGAAAGGTGATCTCTCTCTGCTCCTCTGAGCCCTCCTCACCAGCTGCATCAGCGTGCCCACTGCTAACCACTGCCTCCCTCGCCCAGGGAGGATGACATGCTGGACATGGCCCCCCTCCTCCAGGAGAACTCCCGGCTGGGCTGCCAGATCATCCTGACCCCTGAGCTGGAAGGGGCCGAATTCACCCTGCCCAAGATCACCAGGAACTTCTACGTGGATGGTCACGTCCCCAAGCCGCACTGATAATGGGCAGCTGGACCGTCCCGGACACCCGTGGCCCAAGGGCCAGGACTGGAGAAACAGCCACGTTGCCAGCCCAGCCCAGAGCGTGGACAGGCCCGAGAGATGTCAGAAGCACCAAGAAGGCCAAATGCTTCAGAGAGACCCCATGTCCAGGCCCTGGTGGAGACAGGGCCCCTGCTGGGGCAGCCTCTCCAAGCCCCGGAGAGCCTGCGTGTGGAAAGGGGTGGAATCTAATTAGAGTGACAATAAAACCACCTTACGGAACTCCAGCATCCCGAGTGTCCTTGGCGGGGAGGTGGGGGCAGCCCCGTCCCGCCCCGGAACTACAACTTCATCTTCCAGGCCCTCAACTCTCACCTCCCACAGCAGCGACGGGGCCCGCGGGGAAACTGAGGCAGAGGCCTGGCACAGGCCCAGGAGGCTGGAGGGCTACGTGTGCGTCAGCAGGGCAAGGCCCCGCCCCTGCAGCCGCGGAGGGATTTGCAGGGTCCCAGGCCACGAGGGGTGTGCAGGGCCCCCAGCAGAGTCCCGGAGTAGGAAGGGGAAGGGCTGGGCTGGCCTACAGGTGGGGGCGAGGCTGCAGGGTCCGGCAGCGCCCCGCCCCCAGGTGGGGCTCATTGCCCCCTGCTGCAGCGCCGCACCACGCACCCTGCGCCTCACCCAGGTGGCGCTCATCCGTGGGCCGCGGGGCGGGGCGAGATCGGGGAGGGGGTTGGGCGGGTTGGGCATGATGGAGGCCGAGCCAGCGCCAGACCTCTCCATGATGCTGCTGCGAGAACTACTGGCGCCATCATGTCTGGACCCCGAGCCGCTCCCCGGACCCCCCGCCCAACAGGCGCCGAGGACCCCAAGATACCTCAGACCCAGTAGCAGGTGCGTGAAGCAGCCGCCCCTTCTCCCAAATGGGCCCAGTGGCCAAGGGGTCATGACCCTGGTTCGGTTCCCGGGGTTATTCAGGAGCCACCGTGTTAGTTACTGGTTCTTACAAAGCAGAGGCTCTGATCCCCAGGGATACGTGGGGTCCCGTGTCGCCAGGGGCCATGCAGTTGCCCTCGCTGAGGCCTGTGTAGGGCTGCCCAGGAAGGGGGGTGACCACACTGCCCCTTGTCCCCAGTTCCTTCTGGACTGCACGTCAGGACTCCGTCACCAGCCTGCACCTCCTCCGAGAGACAGCAGCGGGGCTGGCGGAGCCCCCTGCCCAGGACACCCCGGCCCGGGGCCCCTGCTGGGAGCGGAAGGCCCTGGGGGTTTTGGATCCTCCGCCCCTGGCCGGGGATCCCAGGGCCATGCTGACCCCAACTGGTCAGCGAGGACGCAGCCTGGGGCCTCCTGAGATTTCCGCAGCCCCTCCAGCCCCACCTCGGAGGAGGCCCCGGAAGCAGTCAAACCCGCGCCAGGGCGCCGAGAAAGTGGACCCTCGGTTCGCGGGAGTGACCCTGAGGTTTCAGATAAAGCCGGATTCCAGCCTCCAGATTATCCGCAGCTACAGGTGGGAACGGGCCGGGGAGTGAGGGCGCCCTTTATGAGCTAATGGCAATGATAGGGACAGGGGCCTGTGGGACGCGCTCCAGGCGTGGGCTCGCCAAAGGCCAAGCACGACTGTGCCAGGCCCGTCCTGCTGCCATGGCCGGTCGTAGCCCAGGCCGAGCCTGGGTTCCTCTCTACGAGACCGGCCCGGCCAGGCTGAAGGCGGCTGCTGCCATTACTTTTTCCAGTAATAACAACAGCTGCCGTTTGTCAGGAGCAGCCGTTCAGAGGCGACATGCAGCACTTGATGGGTGTGGGTTCATTGAAGCCTTGTAAAGCCCATTTTACAGGTTCGGAAACTGAAGCACAGAGGGGGACATCACTTTTCCAGGGTCACACAGCAAGGGCAGAGAGAAATGGGGTTTCAACCTGACAGGATGGTCCCAAGCAAACTATCTCTTCAAATTATTATTATTATTATTATTATTATTATTATTATTCCTAATGAGGGACAAAGCCAGGCCTTTCAGACATCAGATGCCGCATGAGGGATGCCTGATATCTTCCTAGTAAATCTTTATTTGGGGAGGCTTTCTGGGACAGGATTCAGATCCCCCAATACTGACGCCTTGTCTGTCCCCCAGCCTGGCCAGCAGCAGCCGCTCTCAGGCTCCCCCTACAGGCCCCGAGGCCAACCCAGGAGGCAGCGAGGCCCTGGGTGAGTCCTGGAGACATGAGAGCTATAAATAAGGGGGGAGGGGGGGGGGGCGCCTTCTATCTTCCCTGTCTTACTCCCCACCCTGCTTCCCCATTTAGACCCATCCAGGATGAGTCTCAGTGCCCCCTTCACTCTGCTGAGTCACCCCCACCCCCGGCTTCCTCCTCTGCCAAGCTGTGCCATCTGTCTCCCTTCCTGACGTTCCCTTTGTCTTAGATATGGCAACACCCAGAGCCCGGCGGGGCCTTCACAGGGATCCTCCCAGATTTCCCCACCCCACGCGAGCCTCCTGAGCCTGGACGCTTGGCCTCTGACTCCTGCCCTTTGGCCTCTGCCTTTTCAGGGCCCAGGCGCTGTGCTTCTTGCAGGACCCAGAGAACCCCACTCTGGAGAGATGCCGAAGATGGGACACCTCTCTGCAATGCCTGTGGCATCAGGTCTGCAGACTGGAGGAGGGAGTTGGGGTAGGGTCTCCTGTCAGCCTGTGCTTGGCTGGAATGGGGTATTGGGAAGGGGAAGTGGTTTCCCTGTGGTGGTTTCTGTGTCCCTGGTGCATCCTGAATGTTGGATTTTTGTGCCCCCATCCCAGGTACAAGAAGTATGGCACCCGGTGCGCCAGCTGCTGGCTGGTGCCCAGGAAGAATGTGCAGCCCAAGAAGTTATGTGGCAGATGCGGGATGTTCCTGGGCCCCAACCAAGGCCCACCCCAGGAAGGGTAAGCCCTTCCTCACCCGGCCGAGCCTGTCCTGCCTCCGTTTCTCTAGGGGGAGAGTGGGAAGAAGCCCTCCTAAGAGGAATGAGGGGAAAGCTTGGGTCTTGAGGGCTCCAGCCTGCCTTGCCTCTGCCCTCTCCCCATTCAGGGACCCCAGGCAGAAGATCCAGGCCTCAGGCCCTAGAGCCCCTGTCTCAGAGGTTCACTGGCCTCTTCCTTGGCCCCTGCTTGGCTGAGCTCCCCCTCAGGAAGTGTTCGCAGTAGGAACTCGTGCTGTTTGTGAATAGAATGGACAATAAAGAGAACTCCTCAGAGAAGCAGTGCTGTGACTTCGGGGATCCCACCCCGTGTGCCCTCACCTGCCACTCTCCCAGTCCCAGAATGTGGGTTTGTAAGGACACACATAATCACATATGTAAAGGCACCAGCCCCCCATAGAGGATTAGCCACATGCATCACAACGTCCACACAGGGAAATAGCACCACACACAGAGACAACACAGACAAAAGATAGACACACACAAGACACATGCATCCACGCACACACGACACACATATAGAGACAGACTACACACGAGATTGAAAGATACATGGGTTGACAGACACATGTCCAGATACACGATAAACACACATGTCCATAGACACACAAAAGATACACATATACAGTACAGACACACATGTCAACAGATACACAAACACACAGATGACACACTGGTACACAGTGATACAGACACAGTGGGCCCTTTGCCTGTCAGCTCCACCCCTGCCTGCAGACTGTCACCTATGGTATCCTTACAGGCACCAGTCCCTGCTGTGTCCCCCTCCCCCTCTTTCAAGATCGCTCTCACCCCTCCAAGAGGTGTCCCCAGTCTGAAGCCAAAAGCCATGTGGGAAAGCAAGCCCAGGCCAGAGTTCAGCCCTGCCGCTGTCACCAGGGCACACTGACCGCCAGTGCTCACTTGGGGGGAGAGGGAGGGCTGGGAGTCCAGGATGGCGGGACGCAGGGAGGCAGAGGTGGTCCCTGCCTTGGGGGTGACTGAGGCTTGCCTGGCCACATGCCTCGGAAAGACAGGCCCATGCAAGACCCTCTTTGTCTCTCCTGGGTGGGCTTGTGCAGAAGGCTTGGGCCCACATTCAGCCCTTATAACCCTGACTCATTTGGTCTCACCCTTCCATGGTGCAGAACACCCTCCCCCCGTGACTCCCATAGCTGCCAACTTCTCTCTACTTGGGGAGGAGAGGCTCAGCCTTCAAAGAAGCCCCCTTGACAGCCCTATCTAAAACAGACCCCCCCCTCCCACCCGTGTCAGGCTCAACCTCAGCTCCTGGCTGGTCTCCTGCTGAGAACTTACCAGAATTTTCAGTGCTCTACTTCTCCAGGGTCATTTCTTTACATTCCTCTCCCCCATTGGACACTGGCTTTGAAGGTCCAGGGTTCCCACTCCAGTGTCCAGCACGGAGAACCTCTTCGTGAATACATGAAGGCCTCAGACTGTGTATGTACAAGCTCCAGGCTGCTTTGAGCCATTTAGTCAACATTTTTTGAGCAACTACTGTATGCTAGGCCCCAATGGAGACACTGAATAGAACAAAGATCCCTGCTCTAGTGCGGCCAATATTCTAGAGTGTCAGTAAATAATTACATGACTAATAGAATGTCAAGTGCTACAGAGAAATAAAAGTATAGAAGGAGATAAGGAGTTGGGGGGGGGGGGCGGGTATCTTAGCCCTGGTTCTCTGGAAGGCCTCTCTGGGGAGGTGACATTTGCATAGAGACCTTGGAATTAGGAACTAGCTATGGGATTATTTGGGGTTCGGACTCTCCGAGCAGATAGAATGGCAAGAGCAAAGGCCCTGTGGCAGGCAGAACTTTGTGGGGTTCAAGAAAGGTGGGTGGAGTGAAGAGAAGTGACGGAGGGAGGGAGGGAGGTCGGACAGCAGGAGCTGCACCACCTTGTGCCTTGTTGCCTTCTGTACTGGGCACCCTGCACTGGCTTGGCCTCTAGCACCCGTTTCCTGCTCTCACCTTTGTGCATGAGATGTTTGCATGGGCAGCTGATGAAGCTGGAGCTGTCCAGACCTGCTTCCTTCTCTGCATCTGTGTTCCTGCGGCGGCGGAGGGGGGGGGGGGCGACCAGCTGTTCTCTCCTTATTCTGTGGGCAGTGAGGGGCACAGTGGTGTGCTGTGGGGTTGTGGCTGATACCCTGTATGTACTGAACCATGATGGGCCAGATCCAAAGGCAAGTTGGGGGTAAACTGAGGCACTGAATGAAGGCAGCATTGAGAGTGGGACAGGGACATCCTGGGGACTGACACCATAGCTGCAGCCACTGCCTTCCTTTACTATCCAGACGAGGCCTCAGGGCAGGGTCCCCACACCCAGACCTCTGAGTGGGCAGCTCCATCCGTCGTGGGAAGGCAGCCTCAGCTCTGTCCAGAACCAGGCCTGGGAAGCCCCTAGCTCCCGCCCCCAAGAGTTAGTTCAATCGGAGGGCAGTTCTAGGCCAAGGAATAAGCAGCAGGGAGAGGGAAGGAGTGTGGTCCCCAGCCTGGCTCAGGGGTCCAGTGAGAACAGGAAATGGGCAATGGAGAGAAGTTCCAGGTCACACCATGCAAAGATGTCTTGAACTGCACCCAATGCATAGTAGGCCCTCAAAATCAAAACAGTTTTTTTTTTTTCAAAACAGTTTTATGAATGAATAACCTATGGGCTGCTTCCACATCACGGAGAGCACCCACACAGACCCAGAGTCCTTTATAAAAACTTTATTGGGAGGGTTAGAAAATGGGAGTGACATCCTGGAGTTGAATACATAAATAAATGAATAAATAGAACAATAAATAAGCCCCCGTATGTGTCTGGGGGGCATCCCCCGGCCTGCGGGGAGAGGGTAGTGGGCTCACGCTGATGTCAGCTGGATGGAGAAGACCTCGCCCCCCGCAGGCGTCTCTGCGGTACCATCAGGTTCTGTTCCACCTTGGGCGCTGTCATTTCCACCTGTGCCACCACCCGCACCGTTGAGACAGACAGCCTCGCCCGAGCTCTCGGCCTCCTGCACGTTATACTCGCCCTTCTTGCAGGCGGTGGACTGCACGTAGAAGGCCAGGCCAGCCCCTGCGGCCAGCAGCGCTGCGCCCCCCACCGCACCGCCCACGGCGACCCACAGCCACGGACCTGCGGGGTGGAGCCCCTCAAAGAGGGTGGACGAGCTTGGGATTCCCCCCACCCTGACGAGATGCCAAGCCTGAGCCATCCCAGTGCTGGTGCGACCCATGATCCATGTCACATGCCACCAGCACATGGGGTTATAAGCCTCTGGCTGAGCAGAGATCCCCAGAAATCAACTCCCCTCACCCCCAAAACGATGAGGGTGGGGTGGAGGGAACCGTGTCATTCCTCTATCTCAGAAAGAACCAAGTCTCAGAATGACACGAAGTGGGAGAAGGGATCTGGTTATGGCGCCCACTCCCATCCTCTGCCCTTGGCCCCTCTCCTGATCCTCTTCTGTACAGCCACACAGTGGAGGGTGCATTGGACCAAGTCTCCACCAGGCAGAAAACCTCCCCCCAAGTTACTAAGTCCCTCCCTCCAGCAGTCACAGCCCTGGAGGGCTCCTCACCGTGAAGTTCATTCAGCTCCCTCTCCCTCCACCTCACACCCCCAACCAGCCATTAGAGCCTCACACGAAAGGTTGCCCTTGACTTCTACCCTGGCCTCCTTCAATCTCTTCCGTGGGGATTGAGAGGGAGGTCAGGTGTCCCAAGGCTCAGGCCACGCCCCCGCAGGTACCACTTACCAGTTACACGCACGGTGATGCGCCGCGAGTGGCGCCCATGCGCATTGGTGGCCGCGCACTCGTACTCTCCTCCGTGGCTACCCAGGGCGCCGGCCACGCTCAGTGTGCTGTTGTTGCTGGACAGGCCGATGTTGAGCGCCCCTGGGGGGGCGCGCCAGCTGATCTGGGCGGGGGGCCAGGCCTCCGCGCGGCAGGTCAACGTGAAGTTCCCACCTGGCCGCACACCTCCTGGAGGCGAGGCGGCCAGCTCGGCCACCACTGGTCGGTCTGCAGGGGACAGGAGGTTGGACTGGGGCTCAGCGCCAGCCCTGAGGATGACCAAGTTCCCTGCTTCAACCCACCACAGTCTGACACCACCCCTGCTCCGATGCACAGGTGAGGATCCTGCCTCCTATCAGAAACCCTACCCCCTACAGCAGCGGTTCTCAACCTGTGGGTCGCGACCCCTTTGGCAGTCGAACGACCCTTTCACAGGGGTCGCCTAAGACCATCCTGCATATCAGATATTTACATTACGATTCATAACAGTAGCAACATGACAGTTATGAAGTAGCAACAAAAATAATTTTATGGTTGGGTCACAACATGAGGAACTGTATTTAAAGGGCCAGAAGGTTGAGAACCACTGCCCTACAGTCTGGCTGTAGTCGGTACTGCTTCATTGAATGGAAGGAGGTAAGGGACCCAGGACTTGAGGGGGGCCAGGCTCCTGTTCCCTAGAGTTTTCATTGCTCTCAGCTCTGGGTCCCTTCCCTTGTCCCCGAGAGTGGGACTGGGAGGAGGTGCCCTGGAACTCCCTGCACAAGTCCCTGTCTGGGAACCGAGGGCCCTCTCTCTGTGCTGCCCCCACTCACATTCCACGCCCACGGTGATGGTCCGGGTGTCAGTGCCATGCGCATTGGTGGCTAAGCAGAGGTAGGTGCCCGCATCCTGTCGGGACACGTGTATCCGCTGAGGCCAGGGGCCACCCTCCCGGGAGCAGCTCACTTGTGGGGAGGGGCGGCCCAGGGCAGCGCAGGCTGGCCCGACAGCCTCGGCCCCTTCCAGCCACGTCTGGTGGCTCGGGCAGGTGGACTCATCCATTTTCGGAGGCGCTGCAAAGCAGCCATGGGGGCGTCAGGGAGGGACCACGTCGGGGCACACCCTCCTCCCGCCCGCCTGGGCCCCGCTCACACTCCACGCTCACGGCCACCATCTTGACCATGGAGCCGTGCTGGTTGGTGGCATTGCAGGTGTAGATACCAGAGGCAGGTTCACTAGGGATGCTGGGAGCTCTGGGACTCGGGTCTGGAGGTGCCAGCGGCAACAGCACCCTCTCAGTGGTGCCCCTGGAGCCAACGCACTCCACCCGTGGCTGCGGCTTCCCATCAACCTCACAAGAAAACAGCCGTCCAGACCCTTCCACCCACGTCCAATTGCTGGGGCAGCTCAGCTCCTCAAAACTGGGGCCATCTGGGGAGCAGAGAGTCACGCAAGGACTGAAAGTCAGACCCGAGTTGCCCAAACATACCTTCCCTTGCCCCTTGCTGCCCCCGCTCACATTCCACCGTGATGGCCACAGTTTTGGCCGCAGAGCCTCGAGAATTGGTGGCTTCACACCGGTAGGTGCCTGCGTGCTCCCGGGCCACGTGCAGCAAGCCCTCAATGACCTCCGCCGCCCCAGAGCGCACACAGCTCACGGTGGGTGGCGGCACCCCATGTGCCACACAGCTCAGCGAGGCCTCTGTTCCTTCCAGCCACGTAATACGCTCTGGGCAGCTCACACTGTCCAGCGCTGGCGCGTCTGGAGGGGGGAATGTTGTTGGGTTTGGGCATCGACCGAATGTCCCTAGACCCTCTTTTCTGTTCCACGGCCACCACGTAGGGTTGCGCAGGCTATGCCCTCCCTGCATAGGGACGCTGAACCAAAGGGGTTTCACGCCAGTCAAGCCATGCATTGTTTTGGGACTTCATGAGCTATGAAGGGGCACCTTTTACTGATTCCTGCAAAGCGCCCACAGGACCCTGCTCCAACCTTCAGCCTAAAAATTGTTAGATGGCTTGAAGCACACACTTTTCCGAGACTCCGCCCAAATGCCACGCCCACACACTCCTATGGACACGCCAACCCTTTCTCATGCAAGGTCTTCCCCTAATCCCAAACACCAGCCTAGCCAGAATCCGACCCAGAGGCATCCCTGAGACCTTGCTCCTGCTCATCCCTGCAAGCTGGCCACCACTAGACCCTGAGCATCAGAGAGATGCACCCTGGGCGCCCCCACTCACACTCCACTGTCAGCGTCACGTCCTTGACCGCCTCGCCCTGGACATTGGCCGCGGTGCACCGGTAAGTGCCGGCCAGTGCGCGAGTGATGGGACCCAGCAGGCCCAGCGCCAGCACCGCCCCGCCGTCGGGCCGGGCGCAGTGCACGGAGGGCGCTGGGTTTCCACGGGCCTCACAGCGCAGCGTCTGCTCTGGGCCCTCGGGCCACGTCCAGCTCCTGGGACAGTCCGAATCGTCCAGCCGGGGGGCGTCTGCGGGCAGGGATGTGGGGTAGAGAAGGCTCCACGTGGACCGTGGGAAAGGCTCCACTTCCACAAACGGCGGGGACTGGGCAGGCCCCTGGAGATCACCAGGGGGGAGGCGAGAGCTCAACTCACATAGGACTCGCAGTTCGGTGCTCTCTTTCTTGCTCAGGACCTCCCCGTCCACCTCGAGGGTGGCGTCGCAGAAGAAGCTGCGTCTGTCATCGTTTGCAGTGGCGTTTAGCTGGAGCTGGACGGGCTGTCCCGGGGCTGCGGCCGGAACTCCGTCCAGAGTGACCAGAGCTTGGGCCCCAGCAGCGCAGGTCACTGTCACCGTCTCCCCCTCGGGGACGCTGGGCGCACTCAGGGTCAGGAGGGGCGCGGGGAAGCCTAGGGGTGAAACATTCGCTCGGAGTCAACTGACCACACCCCTGATCGGCGGGAACTCTCGGTGGATACGGCGCCCCGCCCCTCGAACTGCTAAGGCCCCGCCCCTCCTCGTCCCGCCACTTGGCGGTGGTCAAGCCACAGCCCCGCCCAGCCGCTCAGACCCCGCCTCTCTCGTCACTCAGTTTGCCCCGCCCATTCGGATATGAAGACCCCACGCACTCTCTGTCCCGCCTTCGCGTTCCTCCGGCGCCACCCCCAAGCCCGAGAGGCCCGGCCCCGCTCCCTCTTACTGTAGACGGTCACGTTCTCCCAGGTCTCGCGGCTCTCGCGCCCCAGGGTCACGCTGCAGGCCAGCTGCGTGGCGCCCTCCTGCTCTGCGCTCGCCGTGGCTGTGGCAGCGGCCCTGAGCGCGTCCCCCTCGAGGATGATGTCCGGATGCAGCCTCTGGGCCCCCAGCGCCAGGTAGACCCGGGCTTCCGAGGCTGGAAACAGCCCGTCCAGGGAGCAGCTCACGGGGCTTTCCGAGCCCACTTCCAAGAGCCGGGGGGCAGCGAGGCGCGGGGGCTCCGGAGACAGTGCTGGGAGTCCAAGAAGAGAGCTTGAACTTACGTGCTGAACACCCACCATGTGTGTACTAAGCGCTTTACGAGCACGATCTTATCCCGCTATCCTGGAGCCGGAGAGGAACAGGGCTTTCAGCTGGTGAGCGTTGGCGCGAGGATTAGAATTCGGACCTCTCTGCCTCCGAACTTCTCAAGCACTGGGCCAGCCCCTCTGCGTCCCCTTCACCTCCCCACACCCACTCACCGAAGGTTCGGAGCATTCTGGGGGCCGAACGGTTTTCAAACAACCCCAAGCCGTGGGGCCGCAGGTCCAGCTCCGCGCGGCACGAGAAATTGGCCCCATGGTCCTCCCTCCTCGCCAGCACTGCGGCCGTGAGCACCGCTCCCCGCGCTCGGGGCGACTCTCCGGAGAAGCTACGGCGGACCAGCTCCCGGGCGCCCCGCAGCAGGGTCACTGTGAGGCTCCCACGGGGCCCAGCGCCAGGGACCCTGCAGCTCAGGGTGAAGTTCTCGCCGACAGGCTGCCAGGCAGGCAGGGGCATCAGCTCTACACGATCAGGCCGCTCTGCAAGGGAGGCACCCAGGTTCTTGGAAACGTGTGGTGGTGCCCAAGGGCCGAGAGGTGTGGGTTTGAGGATCCAGAAGAAGGGGCCTGAAGGGGAGGACCTCATGACCCAGGGGGCGGGGCCTGGGAGGGAGGGAAAGTGGTGGGGTTAGAGCGTGGCCGCTGAGAACTCACGAAAAGTACGAATGAGCCCACGAGCCTGCAGTGTGCGCCGCGCGCAGCGGAAGAAGCAGACCGGCTGGGTCTCTGGCTCTCGGATGTCCACCAGCTGACGCGCCAGCCAGCGCAAACCCCTCTGGGTCCCATTCCGGCGCAGCGAGGTCTCCAGGCCACCGCGCTCGGGCCGCGGGCAGTTGGTGCTGCAATTCAGCCACAGCGATCCCCCGCGCTCCACGAGCGCCACGCGGGGCTGCAGGTCCGCCCAGAGAGGCTCCTGCGCGACCGCTGCCCGGAGAAATGCGGGCTCAGTCTGGGAACCCACTCTCTGGTTTCTTAGCGCCCCTGAGCTGAGTCAGGCATTCCCGGGGAAGGAGCAGAGGCTGGAGACAGAGAACTCCAGTCCAGCGTCTTGCTCCGGCCTCAGGTTTGGAGGCGTGCTCCCAGGGCACAACCTATAGGGAGCCTCTGGGACATGGCAGCGGAGGGCCCTGGTCTGCAAGGTGCCAGCTGGGTGGTGGGAACGCATGGGAGGGATGGGGGAAGGTGAGAGGAAGGATGGGATCTTCGCCATACCCAAGCACCCCTGGGAGGAGGGGACCCCAGGTGGGGGAAGGGGAACCACTGGTTCTCAGGGTTATCACGGAAAGAAGGGGAGACTGAGGTTGAGAGGAGAGCAAAGGAGAAATGAAGCTGAATCAAGGATGAGGGAGGACTGTAAACCTGGGTGAAGAACACGAAAGGAGGTCGCGGGGCTAGGCTCAAGAAAGGAACCGCGGAAACATCGAGGAACGCGGTTGCCAGGCCTAGGGCGGGAGGGAACAGAGCCTCTGAGTGATGGAGAGAGCGGGTCTTCGCGGGCCGCAAGTGGGTAAGATGCCAATCCGTGGACCATGGTGCATAGCAGAGCGTGCGGAGGTCCCCGGCGACACCGGGTCTCCGAGGTGCAAGGTTGGGTGCAGAAGAGAACCCAGGATCTCGAAGGGGGTATGGTAGAGATCTGGGCGAGCGAGGAGTCGAGAAGCTGTGTCTCCAGTGTGTGTTGGAAGGAGAGAGATATAAAGAAAGCCCACGGCTCAAGGTGGGGGCAGAAGCGTGGGAGCGAGGCGAGGGCGGAGCCGGGAGGGGCATGTGGCCTCTTCTCGGGTCGGGAACTCCGCCCCCGCCCTGTCCACCCGGAGCCGGGACGGGCTCTTACCTGAGAGGCCGATGAGCCCCAGGCCCAGGGCAACCCAGAGGCCGAGCAGCGCCCGGAGCAGCCCTGGCAAGGGCCCTGGCATCGCCGCCGCGGGGAAAGTACCAGAGGAGAGGGGAGCGCGAGCGCTGAGCTGAGCTCGAGGACAGCGCGGCGCGGCGGGTGGGGTGTGGAGGAGGCAGAGTTGCGCTCAGGGATTGGTTTAACGTTGGTAACTTGGTTTCCAAGGAGGGGGAGGCGGCAGAGGCGACGGGGAGGCGGGAGGGCGAGCGTGCGCCAGGCTCCCGGCCTCGGTGAAGGCGTGCGGGCAGGAGCTAGCGACCCCCGGGGGTCTACGTGGAAGCCGGCCCCATCGCCCGGAGCCTTCTGGGGCGGCCTCGAGCTCTCGCGTCATCCGCGGAGGTCGGGGGAAATGCTGGATTGACCATCTCAAACCCTCCTTCCACCCCTAGTTTAGATGCTGTGAAAATGAGCTGGACTCCGCCCCCATATTTTGCCCTTCCCACCAACGCCCCTTGGTGCCGGAATTGATTTATGGGCTAGGAGAGATTTGGGAAGCGCAGGACAAGGTGGGCACAGTTCTAGAGGCGGGTGTGGAATGCCTTCCTTCTCCTTTTGACCCCGTGGAGCTGAGGATTACAGCCAAGTCCCCAGTACCCCTCCGGCTGCGCCCCCGCAAGCGACAGAGGGGGCGGAGACCGAAGTGCTAGCGAGTCAGCAGCACGTGTTCGTGCGCAGCGGCGTTCGCGGGCGTCTAAATTAGGGTTGGCTCGGCTCCGGGTCTGTATTTACCCAGAGTGCAGCGGGCACGTGTCTACTCGGCGGCGTGTGCGAGCACGAGCTGCGGAAGAGCACCCCTGAATTCCCTTTCCGCGTGGCGGCCAGAGCCCTGGGCCGCAGGGCCGTGCCCGCAGCCGGTGCACACTCGGACTGTGTCCACGCGAGCCCAAGAGACCACCTGTTGATACTTTTGATCCCCCATCCGGGCCTCCGGGCCCTGAGACTGTCAGGAGGTTGCCAGAACGCGAGTCTGTGCCACGCCACGTGGACCATCTGATTGCTCCTTCCCAGCAGTCAACACATAGGTTCCCTGTCTGCATATCCACGTCCCTCGATATGTACATGCGAGCCCGCCCGTTTGTGCTCTTGTCCCCAGAGCTAACAAGTGAACTATGGAAGTCAGCGGTAGACCCACTCTTGTCCTCCAGAAAAGTACGGGATCAAAGTGAAAAGGGGGAGGAGGGCGGAGAGGAAACAAAACATCCAATCAGAGCTGTTGCGCGGTAGTGGCGGAGCCAGTCAGCAGAAGCCCGCCCACAGCCCAAGGCCCTCCGGCGCCTAGGCTTTGCCCATCTGCACAGCGCTGATAATGCCCGCGGGAGGTGTGTTTACTACACCCGCTGGAAATGCAGAAGGATTGGGGACCCCCGGGTACCTTCAGGGAGACAAGGAACTTGGAGAAAGTGATTGTGACAAGGGCAAAAAAGACCACTTCTCCGAGGCGGTGCCCTAATGGGGGACCTTCATGTCGAGGGACAGGCTGACTGAGGAAGGCTTTATTGACTTAGGAGGGGTCTCCAAATTGTCCCAGATTTTGCTCCGACTCAGCGGGTATGGACATCCCCTTCTACACCTCGGACTGCATCAGTAGGTACTTTCGCAGATAGACGGCCCCCAGGACGAGAAGAATCCCCACAAAGGCTGCGATGGAAGTGGAAGCCAAGGCTTTGGACGCAGGGCTCCAAGCTGGGGGCAGGAGGTGAGAATTAGGAATGGAGTGCGGAGGCGTGATGACACACGTGGAGCTCAAGCTGGGCCAGTGCCCCTCCTGGGGGCCATAACCCTTCTCCACCCTCAAGTCCCCAGGATTGCAAGGATGCCTCACCCATGGATGTCAGCGTCACAGGTGCTGAGCTGCTGCCGACCACCAGCCCGTCGAGATTGAGGCGCGCGTGGCAGGTCACGGGCTTCCAGAGATCGTGCGGCCGAGCCTGGAACTTGTAAGTCAGCGTCACGTTGGCCAGATCCAGGCCCGTGAAGCGTTCCAGGCTCTCGGAGTAGATGACCCGGCCGCCACGCTGCAGAGTTACCACCAGGAAGCCCACGGGGAACACGTGCGTCACGTGGCAGCGCAGAATGTACTCTCTGCCCTCCAAGACCGGAGGCTCCAGGATCACCCTGTGAGGCGGTTCTAAAGCAAGAGGGGGCCGCTGAGCAAGGTCCGCGGGCGCCCCCTAGCGCGACTGTCAACTGCCCCATCTCTGTCCCCCTCCCGTCTCCCCAGCAGGGCCTAAAAACCCTCGTCCCTCACTGTAGGCGTGGATCCTGGCCGTGGCCCCCCGCGTTACTCCTGCGCAGGTGAGGAAGCAGTGCACTTCGGAGCTCCAGGCCCTTACATCCAGCAGCTGGAAGGAGATCCAGCCGGGCCCGCTGAGCTTCTGGCCCCGCCGCAGCCCAGTATGGAGGGTGGAACCCTCCAAGAGGGGGCAGCTGCTGCTGCAGTTGAGCCACACCGAACTCCCCGGCCGCACGGCTATGAAATTGGGGCTTATGCGCATCCAGAACGGCGCCGTGGTCGCGGAGAGCGTGGGAGAGCTGCCTCCGGGGCTTTGCGCCCGCGCAGCCCAGCACCTACGCGCGCTCCTGCCTCCCGGGCAAGCTACCGCCAGCAAAACCAGAAGTGAGAGGGGAAGCAGAAACCCCATGGCAAAGAGCCCGTAGTGAGAGACCCCGCGCCAGGAAGCCAGGCTGGCTCTGTAGATAAGAAAGCCCAAAGCCCCGCCTTCTCAGCCCCACCCGGAGAGACAGAGGCTCTTAGAGGGCCAGGATCCCTGCGACATATACCCCCCTCCCCTCCACTCAAGAATGGGATTCCAGACCCCATTTTAAACCAGACTTGTGTGTGTTTTTTCCAGAGAGAGGTCTTTAATTTTACCCAGAGTCTCAAAAGTTACCAATACGCCCTGATTTGGTTTAGGGCCTCAGGAATGGGCCTTGAACAGCAGCCTTTCCTTGGAGGGAGGAAGTAGGACAGGGCTGTGGTAGGACAGCTAGGAAGAGCTCCAGCTGGACGGAGCACCTCCCCTCAACTCACAAGAGGCTGGGCCCGTGAAAAAAGCTTTATTAACACAAGGGAGAGGCTTCAGGAAGAGCTGGAAATCAGCCCCACCCCAGCTGTCTGCAGGGCCCTCGGGAATTTGGAGCTGCCAGCGTTCGCTTCTTAACATGGTCCCGATGAGATGGAAACAGGACAAAGCAGGGACACATGGGCCGGGCATAGTTCCATGGGGTCCTGTGGTTTAGCTATCACAGAGTGGACACTCGTGTTAAGCATGTCACCAGGTGTCACTGTGAGCACTAGCAGAGGCGCCTGTGGGTGGAGGCTGCTAACAGAGGTCAGCACCAGTGGGTTGTCCTGTCACCAGCTAAACCATGTTGGTTTCCCTGCTGGGGGGAGGAGGGGGAAGCAGTTTGGCCAATGGAATGGGAAATTCCACCCCACCGGGTCTTTTTGTAAGTCAATACATCAGTACCTGGTGACCCTGAATGAGATCAGACTGAGCTGCCTGAGGGCAGGAACTTCTGTTCCTCTTGTTTACCATTCTACCACACACAGAAGGCACTAATAAATATCTGGTAACTGGCCCGGCCGGTGTGGCTCAGTGGATTGAGCATTGTCCCATCCACCAGGACGTTACTGGTTCTGTTCAGATCAAGGCACACCTCAGGGTTACAGCTGGGTCCTAGTGGGGGGTGGGGGGTGGGGACCTGTAGGAGGCAGCAGATCTCATCTCTCTCTCTTCCTCTCTCAATGAAAAATCAATTAACCCCCCCCCCACTACTATTTACAAATATATATCTGGTAATAGAAAAATGAATAAATATGTCATCATCCAGCGCTGGGACCAGTCAGTAGACAGCACTGTCAGAGCTGTCAGAGGAAGTGTGGGAATTTGTTTCGATGCTGCCCGAGTCTGGGCAGGGCTACTTCTCTCTCAGGACTGTAGGGCCTTGGCACATGCAGGAGGGTGAGTTTCAATATTTTCCAGATGGGTGTCCCCATGTCAGAGGTATATCTCCGTCACACCCCTCTGGCAGGCCAGCCTTTGCCATCCCTCACAGTCATGCCCATAGTCTTGCCCCTGAGTCTTGGCTCAGTCCTGTGGCTACAGGTCAGGTGTGAATGTGCCATGGTGTGCAGGTGCCATGACCCTAAACGCTGCCTGTGTTCTGGCTGAGGCCTCTATCCTCTCTCCTGGCATTCTAGAAAGGTGGGTGCTGCTGAATGGCATAAGTCTGCCACCGGTGGAGGCCCTGTCCAGGGACGGGCTCACGGTGGTGTGTTCAGCCTCATGGCGGCCGCCTCCTGGGCCTTCTGTAGCCTGTACTTCCGGATCTTCCGCTGGCGGTTATAGAGGTAAGCGACTGTGCCCCCTGTGGCTGCAATGCCCAGGATGAGAGCTGTCACTGCAATGATGGTGACCAAGTTACTCTGCTGATCTGTAGGGCGAACAATAAGGGGAGATGGGGGCTGAGCCAGACTCGCTGACCCTGCCCAACCCAGCCCCGTCCCCAGCACTGGCACTCACAGATCACGTTCACAACCACTTCATGGGTGGCCACACCGCGACGGCTGGTGGCCCGACACACGTAGGTGCCCGAAATATCCCGAGTGACAGGCCTCGACTCCCCGATGGGCAGCAAAGCCCCATCCCCTTTCCGGCGACAGTCCAGCTTGGGGATTGGGTTCCCCGAGGCCTGGCACCTCAGGGTCTGCGAGATGCCTTCCTCCAAAGTCCAGTTTCCTGGGCAATTCTCCTTGTCCAGTCGGGGGCCATCTAGAGAAACACAGCAAGAGGCGGGCCGGGTCAGGGACCAGAACCCCTCTCACCACCCAGGTCTGGAGGAGTTAGGTAGGCAACCCAGGGCAGGGGCGGGGGTAGACTCCAGAGACATGAGCTCATGGAGTCCTAGGGCCTTGGAGGTTTGGGGTCATTGTCCAGCAGCCCTACTCACACAGAACAAAGAGCTTCTGGGTCTTGTTTTTGTGCAGCACATGCCCGGCCACCTCCAGGGCAGCAGAACACACAAAGCCACGCCCGTTGTCCTTAGCAGTGGCATTCAGCGTGATTTGGGCACTCGGAAATGGAGACTCATCTGGGTCCCCGATCAGCGTCACCACAGCTCCAGCATGGGCCTTGCACTCCACGCTCACCACAGTCCCCTCGGGGGCTTCAGACTCACTCAGGGTCAAGTTGGGAGCTGGGAAACCTGGGGGAGGAGCACGCAGTGAGCCCCGCCCCTGGTCTGGCCCCACGCGTCCAGAGCTCTGGCCTGTCCCTACTTACTGTAGATGGTCACACTCTCCTGAGTCCTCTGACTCTGGTTTCCCAGGGTCACTGCACAGGTCAGCTGCTGGACGCCTTCATCCCTCGGGGCCACCTCCACCAAGGCGGTGGCCGAGAGGGAGTCCTTGCTGTACTTGACTGTGGGTGTCAGCCTCTGGTCCTCCAGTGCCAAGTGAACCTGGGCCTCTGAGGCCGGGAACAGCCCATCCAGGGAGCAGGTCACGGACCGCTGTGTGCCCACTTCCATGATCCCGGGAGTAACAAGGTGTGGGCGGACCTTTGGCAGGACTGGCCAGAGAAGGTGGGTGTGAACAGAGGGGAACGGAAGCCCTTTCCCGCGGCATTTTCATTCTGTCACCTGGAACGCCTCTTCCCCGGGAGACTCTGCGACTTGGCCATCTATGACTCAGGACACTCGTACCCCTTACCCTGGGTCACAGCCTTCTCAGAAGATCCTGTGGCCCAGGCGGCCCATCCCCCAACACCCCACCCCAGTGGCCAAGAACATGCTCTTCCCAGAAGCCTTTGCAATCTAGGTCACTATCTTCTCCGTACCCTCAAGGCCAGGAGCGCCTCCTTCCCAGGAACCCCGCACCCCAAGCAGGAGCACTGCCTGAGCCTGTCCTGCGAACTTCCCAATGCCTCACCGAAGGTTCGGAGCTGCCTGGGGACTGAGCTGTTCTGGAACAGTCCCAGCCCTTGGGGCCGAAGGTCCAGTTCTGTGCGGCAAGAGAAGTTGGTGCCATGGTCGTCTCTGCGTGCCAACACTGTGGCCGTGACCTCAGCCACAGGCGTCCCCTTCGCAGGCTGCCAGCTCAGCAACTTCTCCCCTTGGAGCAGCATCACGGAGAGGTTTGTCCGGGGCGCCCCTCCCTCCACCTGGCAACGTAGGGTGAGGTTTTCGCCCACAGGCTGCCATTGGGGCAGGGGTTCCAGCTCCACATGCTCTGGGAACCCTGGGGGAGAGGAGAGGAAGGAGTGTCCTGTGAGCTGGACAGGAAGGACACCCACCAGCAGGGGGCACAGGGACACCATACCTGGGCCAGGGAGCCTCACGGCCCCAAACACACCCCAAGGCTGACTAATCCCAAACCACCTGAGTCATTCAGGAATGTTAAGAACTTCGGAGAAACCAGTGAGAAGTCCCCAAGTGGTTGTGAAAGGGCAAACCATTTTTTTATTCACTGCAGCTTCTAAGAGTGAAAGTGGAAAAGAACCTCGGCGGGTATCACCAGGTGTCCAGCGAAACACAGCATTTCAGCTGCCCAGTAGAGATTGGTTTGTTTTTTGTTTTTACAGAGAGGAAGGGAGAGGGACAGAGAGTTAGAAACATCGACGAGAGAGACATCGATCAGCCGCCTCCTGCACACCCCCTGCTGGGCATGTGCCCACAAGCAAGTACACGCCCTTGACCGGAATCGAACCTGGGACCCTTGAGTCCACAGGCTGACGCTCCATCCACTGAGCCAAACCGGTCAGGGCTAGAGATTGTTTTAAAAAAAGACCTCTGCTCTTCAAACAAAAAAAAATTAAGAACGGAAAAATAAATTTAAAACGATAAAAATTGTTTAAAAAGAAAACTAAAAAACCAAACCAAAAAAGACAGAATAAACGAGAGAAAGAAAGAGACCTCTGCTCCCCCTTCCCCTCTCTGGGCTTTATTTTTCTCTGCAGCACCCGTTCACTCTCCGACACACAAGATCATCTACTCAGTGAACTTGTTTCTCCTCGATTTCCTCCCATGAAATGTGACCCCAGGAGGCAGGATCTTTGTCTGCTTTGCCCCCTCAGGTTGTTTGTTGGCGCGCAGTAGGCGCTCTATATATACAGAAGGAATAAGTTTGAACCACACACACTGATTGGAGGCCTTTCAGGAGCCCACGTCTGAGAGAAAGAAGTTCCAGCCCTGCCCGCATGGCTCCGTGGTTGAGCTCGATTTACAAACCAGGAGGTCACGGTTACATTCCGGGTCAGGGCACATGACTGGGTTGCTCAGTGTGGGGCGTGCAGGAGGCAGCCAAACAATGATTCTCTCTTATCACTGATGTTTCTCTCTTTCTCTCCCTCTCCCTTCCTCTCTGAAGTCAATAAAAAAATATTAAAAAAAAAAAGAGAGAGAGAGAAAGAAGTTCCTGAATGTGCTGTATGACCTTCTGAAATGTTAAAAATGTAAGAACCAAAAAAAAAGTAAGCACCCACAGACACCCAAAACACAACTCTGAATAGCCCTGAAGATACAGCTTGTGGGCTCGGCTTTCACAGGCCAGGGTTTCCGTTTTGCACCAGGTAACAGAATTCTGAGCCTGAAGGGCCAGTGAACATTTATAGCAGAGCCCTGCTGAGCTGTGACTTAGCACTGAGACCCACCAAGCTCCCCAGGGAGGGGTCTTGAGGGGTCCGGGTCACTGATCCCTTCTCAAGAGGCCCAGGAATATCACTTGGCAATGCTGTTAAAGGGTCAGGGGCTTGGGTTTGGTTCCTTTTCGGCTTCTTTGCTGTGGGCTGTGGGTGAGTGACTTGCCTCTGGAACAGTCCCAGCCCTCAGGGCTCAGAAACGGAGACGCAGTTTCCTGAGCTGTAAAGTGGGGCTACTGGAGGTAGGACTATTATTAATCCATTTAAGAAATTGAAAGAGTGAGTGGCAATGGGCAAAAGGTTTCCTTTTAGGGTAATGAAAATGTTCTTAAATTAGATGGTGGTGATGGTTGAACAACTCTATAAACACTAAAATTCATTGACTTACGCACTTCAAATCTGTTTTGTTTTGTTGTTTTTTTTTTAAAAAAAAAAAGGCCCAGAGCTGTAGCCGATTTGGCTCAGTGAATAGAGCTTTGGCCTATAGACTGAAAGGTCCCGGGTTCGATTCTAGTCAAGAGCACACATGCCCAGGTTTCGGACTTGATCCCCAGTAGGGAGCATGCAGGAGGCAGGCAAACAATGATTCTCTCTCATCATTGATGTTTCTATCTCTCTCTCCCTCTCCCTTCCTCTCTGAAATCATTAAAATTAAAAAAAAAAAAAATTTTTTTAAAGGCCCAGAAAACGCTCAGGCACCCAGCTCTGACATCTAATCATCTGCTGCAAACCACAATTTACAGAGCGAGAGGCCTCCTTAAACCTCAGCCCCATGTCTCCAAACCCGGCTCTTTGCGCTGTAAGCCAGGCTGCCGGAAGAGGTCTGTCTTGCCTGTACCTCTCCTTGACACCCCCAACCCCCCACCTTCAGTCCCTCACAAAGTCCTGGTCACACTGCTCTTCAAATATTTGTCTGCCCTTCCTTTCCTGTAAGCAGCCACTGCCCACAAAATGTGTGGCCTGGACAAGGCCCGCAGCCAACTGTCCTCTGGCTTCCCCTCAGTCTGGCCTTCTGCTCTCTAGATCCCTGGCCTGCTCACACACTTTTGAAGTGTGGCTCCCTATCACCCTGGGGAGAGGGCCCCAACTCCCCAGCCTGGCATTCGAGGAACTGCCAGCCTTAGCTCCAGCCTCGCTAATCTGTTGATGTTCACCCCCTCCGGCCTGCCCAACCCCGGATCAGCATGTTTCCCCCTCCAAACCTCTGCCCAGGCTGTTCCCTGTGCCCAGAATGCCTGTCTACCAGCTCCCGTGCACCCTTCAAGGCCTGGTTAGGGATCACTTCCTGCACAAATGGCCACTCTAACCTTTCTCGAGAAAGCTTAGCCACCCAGGGAAGCCCCTTGCCTTTACGCTGAGGGCGGGGCAGGCCCAAGCCAGAGTGTCTCCCAGCGGACACCCCTGCTGTGCGCCTGCTACCTGCTCCATTTCACAGAGCTGGAAACTGAGGCGCAGTCTGGTCTCTAGAGTCACAGAGAGAGTCAGTGGCAGAGGCAGGAACTCACGCCTGAAGTGCTGGGCTTTCAACGACCAGGCTGAGCTGTGGAAGGGCCTTCCAGGGAGTTCCCTGGGGTTTTCAGAGGCCCCTGGGAATGTTTGGGGACTTCCCTCATCTGGCCAGCATCTGCTCAAACATCCTCCATATCAAAAGCAAAACTGATAGTCGCCCAAAGGCTTCCTCACCCAGACACCATGGAGATGGAATGCCCTTCATGCCTTACTGCATCCCCATACCCATCCCAGGAGGTCTCACGTGAAAGTCAACCCAGAAGCCAGGTCCCCCACAGTCACACAGTTAGTAAGGGCCATGATGGGACTGGAACCCAAGGCTGTCTAATCCCAAAGCCAAGTGACCAGTTTCCTCCCTCCCTTCCTCCCTCCCTTCCTTCCTTTTTGGTTTGTTTTGTTCTAATTTGAATTTTATTTATTGCCTATGGTCATAGTCACTCATTCTCACCATTCAAAATGCCCAAAGGTAAAAAAAAAAAAAAAAGACACAAGGAGAAAAAACTCATTCCTGCCCTCTCCTGGAAACCCCCCCCCCCCCTCGCCCTCCACAGTTAATATGGTCATTTCTTTCAGTAAACACAACCTCCCTCACCCTACTCCAGCACTCCCTAACACACAGAATGGCATGCCACTCATTCTGGGCATACCTTCCTTCATTTGAGTTTGACTGCAGCGTCTCAGAGTGTGCAGCAACTAGCACCCTCTCTTTTGGGGACACAAGGAACTTCCTCATTCATGTACACAGTTGCATACTATTCCATTGTATAGCCAAACCACAGTCATTTCCCAGCCCCGACATTGAGCGGCTTGTAAACTTTTGTCCTTACAAACAAAGCTGCAGAATAATCCCACCCACCCCCAGTCCCCTCTGAGCAGGGACACATGCAAGCCCAGTTCCCAGGAGTAGGGTTTCTGTATCAGAGGGCACGTGCATGTGTCATTTGGAGAACTGAGGCCCCTTCCCTGCCTGGGGCTGTGCTTCCTCATGCTCCCACCCCATCAGCAATGTCCCAGGATGGTCTGCTAGCGCAGTCTTGTCAGCGCAGCTGTTATCAATTCTTTCCATTGTTGCCAATAAGTGAAGAAAACTTCACTTCGGGGCTAGTTTTAATTTGCATCTTTTAAAAAAGAGTCAGCTGGCTCTATCTGGTTTGGCTCAGTGGATAGAGCGTCCACCTGTGGACTAAAGGGTCCCGGGTTCAATTCCAGTCAAGGGCGCATGCCCAGGTTGCAGGCTCAATCCCCAGTGTGGGATGTGCAGGAGCCAGCTGATCAATAATTCTCTCTAATCATTGATGTTTCTATCTCTTCCTCCCTCTCCCTTCCTCTCTGAAATCAATAAAGATATATATCTTAAAACACAATAAAAATAAATACATAAGAGTCAGCTTGCCTGGCTGGTGTGGCTCAGTGATTGAATGTCAATCTATGAAAAAGGAGGTCATGGTTTGATTCCCAATCAGGACATCTGCCTGGGTTGCAGGCTCCATCCACAGTAGGGGATGTGCAGGAAACAGCCAATCGATGATTCTCATCATTGATGTTTCGCTCTCTCCCTTCTCTCCGAAATCAATTATATATATCCTATATAATAAAAGCCTAATATACTAATTGTCCAACCAGGAGTTCCACCGCTTGCTATGATGTGCACTGACCACCAGGGGGCGGTGCAGAACATGGCGGGTGTCAGAGACGCAGCACTGGCAGTGGAGGCGCTGCCAACCCAATGGGCCCCGTGGAGAGCGGGACAGCAGCACGGGACAACGGTGGGATGGTGGAGCAGGTGAGCAGGTGGTGCCAGGCCAAGGCAGGTGTGAGCCAGGGGCTGATTGCCCTGCTGATCGCCCCACAGATGATGGAGCAGGTGAGGGGGTGGCACCGGCCATGGCAGGGTGCCAGGCAGGGCTGCGGGGCTTCAAGGCTGAGGGCATGAGCTGGGACCCAATCCCCGCAGGCCACCCCTGAGGGACCTCACCCATGCACGAATTCGTGCACCAGGCCTCAAGTACATATATATAAAAGAGTCAGATCTAGCCCTAGCCGGTTTGGCTCAGTGGATAGAGCGTCGGCCTGCGGACTCAAGGGTCCCAGGTTCGATTCTGGTCAAGGGCATGTACCTTGGTTGCGGGCATCTCCAGTAGGGAGTGTGCAGGAGGCAGCTGATCAATGTTTCTCTCTCATCGATGTTTCTAACTCTCTATCCCTCTCCCTTCCTCTCTGTAAAAAATCAATAAAATAGATTAAAAAAAAAAAAAAGAAATCAGAGGGCCTTCCAAGTTTGTAAAAAAAAAAAAAGAGTCAGATCTAGGGCCTTGTCAGAGGTCTAGAGCAGTGATTCTCAACCTTCCTAATGCCGCGACCCTTTAATACAGTTCCTCATGTTGTGGTGACCCCCAATTTCATCGTTACAACTTGAACATAATTAAAGCATAGTGATTAATCACAGAAACAGCCGAAACCGGTTTGGCTCAGTGGATAGAGCGTCGGCCTGCGGACTGAGAGGTCCCAGGTTAGATTCCGGTCAAGGGCATGTACCTGGGTTGCGGGCACATCCCCAGTAGGAGACGTGCAGGAGGCAGCTGATCGATGTTTCTCTCTCATCGATGTTTCTAACTCTCTATCTCTCTCCCTTCTTCTCTGTAAAAGATCAATAAAATATATTTTTTTTAAAAATCACAGAAACAATATGTAATTATATATGTGTTTTCCGATGATCTTAGGCGACCCCTGTGAAAAGGTCGTTCGACCCCCAAAGGGGTCGCGACCCACAGGTTGAGAACCGCTGGTCTAGAGAGACAGTTCTTGAATGTGCCGAATCCCTGTAGATACTCTTAAGTGCACCCAAGGAAGCTCAAGGAGAGGTTTCAAATGACAAAGAGGCTTTCCGAAGATGTGACCACCTGCCCTTCAGTGAGACCCTCCCTGGCCCCACCACCAAACTTCAAAGGCAGTCCCAGCCCACTATGGACTCCCTTGCCCACCTCCCCCACCCAGCATGCCTAGCCCAGCCCCTGGGCCCAGCCACTCACAGTACACAGTGAGGGACATTGTAGCCTCCGACTGGTCGTTGTGGCAGACTGAGTAGCAGTATGGGATGGTGTCTCCTTGTACGGAACTAAGTTCATACAACTTCCAGTTGGACCCATTGGCCACTTCTTTCTTATCCAAATGAGTCTCCAGGCCCAAGAGGGTATATTGATCACAGGAGGTACTGCAGTTCACCAACACGGAACCTCCCCGGGGTATGATGACTTCTTTGGGGTGCACTGATGTTTGGGCACCTCCAGGCCCTGGAACAAAAGTGTGAAGAGGAGAAAGGCATTGCAATTTGGGTTCATCGATATTCCTGGGTCCCCAGCCTGTGCTGGGGGGCACAGCCTTGAATAAGACAGAACTCTCTGCCATCAGTGTGGGAGGCAGAAAAATTCACGAGCAAACAAGATAATTAATAACTGATGTTAATAAGAACTCTGACAAAAACCAAACAACAACACTGGGTGATAGGACAGTGACTTGATGACCGGGTTATGGATGAGCACAGATATGGATGATGAGAAGGGCGATCCAGAGAAAAGGGAAATGAGTCCCAAGTGCAAAGGTCCTGGGGCAGGGTGTCTGCAGCCAAGTCAGCAAGGGGGAAGAGTTAGGGGAAATGAGCTCAGGAAGATCACGCAGGCCGTGGAAGCCATGCCAAGGATGTGTTTTTCATTCTGAAGGCCATGGGGAGCCACTGGAGGATTTCAGCAGAGGAGGAACATCACTGTCCTCCCTCCCAAGAGGTCAGGTAGCGGGGGCAGCCCTTTGGGGATGGACGCATTCTCATCACGTTGGTTCCTCCCTCTCTTTGACAAGTGATCTCCCTTTTCCTGCCTCAGTGTCCCCATCTGTAAGTACAGTCCTCCGAACCCTGTTATTGAAAGTAACTCCTAGGACAGGGCAGGGAGCAAGAAGCCACAGATAAGAAGAGGGATTGTGTTAGCTCCCTCAGACCCTGGTGCCTCCAAAGCTGAAAAAATGTCTGAACCCGTCCCTCCTACCCCACCCCCAGAGATTCCTGCCATCGGCTTTGGGCCCACTCTATCTTGGGTGGGAGAGATGTGAAAACAGCTCTCCGCGGATGATCCTGGGCTCATTCCCACTTCACAGAGGAAAATGGTGAGGCCCAGAGGGGGGGTGGGGCGGGTGACTCAGCCAGAAAGTGGCAGAATCTGGACTGCAGTCTGTGTTAGAACGTTTTATGAAGCTGGTAACCATGGTGTCCATCTTCCACTCTCCTGCTCCCCAACCCTATCACCCTCTGAGACTCTCTGTTCCCCTTCTCGCCCCCCTCTGGAGTTGGTGGAGGGGTGCCTCGGAATCTCACTTCTCAGCCTGTGTTCCTTGGGCAAGTCAGGCTTGGAATTCCCCTGAGCAGAAGCAGGTCTGGACTTCCCCAAGGGCTGGGAAGGAGGAAGAAACTGTGCTTGCTGCGTGGGGTCCCAGCCTGCTCAGAGGGTAAGCGTCCCCCATATCACATGACTGCCAGCTGTGCTGGGTCAGGAACAACGGAGGCAAAGTGTGCGCACTGACATCACATTCTCCATTTACAGGTGAAAAACCGAGGCTCAGGGAGGCTCAGCCTGTATAGCCCCAGGCCACACATGGAGGTGCAGGGTCTGGATTTCAACCCATGGCGGTTGATTTTCTTTCTTTTTTAAAAAAATATTTTTATTGATTTCAGAGAAGAAGGCAGAGGGCGAGAGAAATAGAAACATCAATGATGAGAGAGAATCATTGACCGGCTGCCTCCGGCACGCCCCACACCAGGGATCGAGCCAGCAACCTGGACATGTGCCCTGACCATGAAATCGAACCTGGTTCACAGGTCGATGCTCAGCCACGGAGCCACACAGGCTGGCCTTGACTTTCGTTTTTAAAATTTTGACACTGATTTTTTTTTTAAATTTTTTAAAAATATACTTTATTGATTTTTTTACAGAGAAGAAGGGAGAGGGATAGAGAGCCAGAAACATCGATGAGAGAGAAACATTGATCAGCTGCCTTCTGCATACTCCCCTCCGGGGATGTGCCCCGCAACCAAGGTACACGCCCTTGACGGGAATCGAACCTGGGACCCTTCAGTCCGCAGGCCGACGCTCTATCTATTGAGCCAAACCGGTTAGGGTGACTTACTGATTTTTAGAGAGAGAAGAAAGGAGAGACAGACAGACAGATATTTTTTGTCCCACTTATCTATGTATTCACTGATTGATTATTATATGTGGGTGGTAGCCCCACTTTCCCCTAAACGACTACCTAAATACGAATGGCCTGGACCTCAGCCAGGATGGGGGGTGGGGTGGGGCGGTCCTCCCACCGCTTGAGCGCTCGCCAGAGCGGCCCCTGTCCTCCACTCACCTGGGAGCAGGGCCCAGAGCAGGGCCAGGAGCGCGGTCCGCGGGGATCGGGCGGCGACGGGAAGCATCGCGACCGAAGTGAGGAGAGCAGTGAACTTGGAGTTGAGGTCGGCTGCACTGACTGGGCGCCAGCCGCGCGCGCGTCCTTTATAGCAGTCCCCGGGGGCGGGTGGGGTGGGGGCGGTGCTGCCTTCCCGGAAACCCTGGAAGGAGGGTTCTGGCATTTCCGGATTGACGGTGCCCCCTCGCTGGCCGCTGCCGCGCCGGAATTTCCGAAATGAAGCAAAGGGACCACAGAGGTGGTAGCGACCGGAGGGCGGCCCCGGGCCGGGGGTCCGGTCCTGGGGGCGGGTTCATCTCGATGCTGCGCTTACGCTGCGCTCGCTGAGAGCTGACAGCTGTTCTTGCGTCTTAGGAATTGTTCCTGTGCCCATTCCACAGAGGGGTAAACTGGGGCTCCGAGCTGCGAGGGGATTTGACCCCCAGCGCCTGCAGGTCCCTTGAACCGAGTGGACGATCCCTCGCTGGGTCGGGTCCCGTGACCCTCCATCAAGGGTGCCCCTCCCCGAAAGGGCACGACTCCGGGATTTCCGAGAAGCGGCCGGAGCGGCACCTCCAGGATCCCGTGCGCCACGGGGGCGAGGACACGCGGCGGCGTCACTTCCCAGGATCCGCTTTCCCCCACCGACGGCGCCCCCTCTCCCGAGGTCTCGCTTCCCCTTTCTGCCTTGGCCGTGGGGGCGTCTTTACAGTTTCCAGAAAGGGGAAGGAAGTCACATGGCCCCAGCATGCCGCGCTCCGGCTGCCGTTCCCAGGCTCCCCGGGGAAACTGAGGCAGCCGACCCAGACGGGGGAGGAGAGGCACTCGAGCCCTTGCCTTTCCAAGGGAAACTGAGGCAGCTCCTAGGCTCTGAAGTGGGGCGGGGAGAGGGGACGCTCAAACCCCTGCCCATCCTGAAACTCGAACCCGGGGCGCTAGCACTAAAAATGGGCAGGAATGTGTCCGGGCTGGTTCCGTTAGGGCGGTGGAGGCGCCTTGAGGCCCCGCGCCGCGTCCACCGGCCGCCCCCACGTCCCTCATCCCGAGGGCACAGGCCGTGCGTGTGACCTCAAGACTCATCATTCACCACGTGGAGGCTAGGAGGGTCCGAGCGCTAAGAGCGCCGCCCAAGGCTTCCTGTTGTGCGGCGCGTGCCGCGTCACCATGGAGACCTCCGAGGGGCCACAGGTTCGCCCAGCAGAAGGGGAAAGGAAGGGGCCCGGGGGATGCCTCCGCCCTTCCTCGGAGAGATGGTGCTTCGAGTCACCCGCCATCCACAAATGCGTCCCGCTCCCCCCACCCTGATGGTTCCTAAGGAATTTCCACGGGGATCTTTCTTACTGGGGGAGAATGGCGGATGCAAAAGTCCACCCCCAGAATGGCCTGGGGTCCGAGTCCCTCGAGAGAGCCTGGGAAAATCCTGCGCGGCGTGTTATTTTCCGGAGGATTTTTCCCAGGCTCGCATCAGTGGGTCCCTTGGCCTTGAATCCAAGTGCACAGCCGCTGGCTCCCCCTCGCGGCCCGGGTTTCCCCTGCAGCCAGAAAAGCGTTCTTCCTTCTCCACACCGCTGAGCAGGGTTGATTGAGCGCCAGTCCTCTATGAGGCATCACTCCAGATGCTGGGGACACACAATAAACAGAACAGACAGAAATCTCTGCCATCGTACTGAGATGGTCTTAGTGGGGGCAGCAGTCAAGACACAAAAATAAAATAGATTAAGTGTTAGGTTGTTATTAGTGCTAAGGAGAAAAATAATACGGGGAAGGGGAGAGGAAATACGAGGGTTAATGTACTTTTAAATAGAGTATTCTGAGGAAGACTGAGAATGTGACATTTGAGCAAAGACCAGAGGGAGCAGTGACAATATTAAGAAGGTAGTGTATCAGACAACGAACACGGAATGTGCAAAGGCCCTGAGGTAGCAACTGCCTTAAGGACAGTCAGGAAGCCAGAGTGGGTAGAGTGCAGTGAAGAGGAGGAGAGTTGGAGGAGAGGAGGGCAGGGAGCGGGTGGGGCAGCTCAGGTAGGGTGGGGGGCTTTGGCTTTTCCCCTGAGTGAGGTGGGAGCCATGCAGGGTTCTGAGCAGAGGAGGTATGGGCCAGCCCTGACTCAGGTGTATACAGGTGCCCTCCTGAGACTGCAGGAGTGCCAGGCAGGGAGTGGGAAGACAGGGTAGAAGACAAATAATAGAGGCGGTGACTGTCTAGTTTGGGCAAGTGATGACTGCACGGTGGCGACGGAGAAGTAGTGGAATTTGGCATCTGCTTTGGAGGCAGGGCCGACTGGACTTGCTAGAACATGAGGGCAGGGCTGAGTCAACGATGATTCCTTGGGACACCGAGGGCCGTTTCCTGAGTGAGAATGGGATGGTAATGGGGGCAGGTTTGGCCGGAGGAGCATGAATCTTTCCATCTTACCCTCCTTTGTGTGTTTCCAAGGAAAAGGGAAGCACATCGTCCCCAATCCTTTGCTTCTGACGCCAGGAAAGGCAGGGCTTCCTCCAGGATGCCAGGCCGTCTCAGGCAGGCCAAGAAATAAGCCCAACGCCTGGCTCCACGGCATTACACTTGCTCTTCCCTCACTCTGCGCTCTGGTGTGGCCACCTTGCCGTTTCCTCAGCTTGGAATGCTCTTTCCTCGAACCTGACGTGGCCTGCCCCTGTTTGCTTATGGCCCAAGTCTCCCCGCAAAGCTTTCCTGGACGCCCCCGCCCTGATTCTAGGCCACTCCTTGTTCACTCCTGTTCCTTGCCCTAGAGGGCTCATTACTGAAACTTCATTCACTTGCTGAAATTCTTTCGATTTATTTGATCGTCTGTGACCTCCATTTCTGTGAACTCCAGAAAGACAGGAACCCTGTGCTTCCCAGAACCTGAAGCAATGAATGGTCATTTTAGCAGGTGCTCAACGCGTCCTTGTTGAACAAATAAACTTCTCTGATCTCTGAGCATTCTGCACATGCTGTTCCTCCAGCCCAGAATTCCCTTCCCACCGCTTTTACAAAAGGTTCCCAGAGCGTTTCACTCACAGGTTGTCATGCAGGTAGTTTATCTGGGAGGTGACCCCAGGAAACACGTGGGCAGAGGGAATCAGAAAGGAGACAACAAAGATGAGCATTAGTGGATTTCCCTTTTGGGGGAAACAAGTGCATTTCACTCGGGAACTTTGGCTGTGGGTAGACTCCACCAGTAAAAGCTGCTCCAGGAATGTCAGCTCCCCAATACTTTAAGTCATTGTTAGGGTCGCCGAAGGAGGAACGCACGAGGCTTATCAGGTCATCTAGATACCAGATGGGGTGAGCCCCAAAGTGGTGCCAGCCCCCAAAGACGGGGAGTCAGAGGTTTTTAAAGGACTCTAGGCGGGTTTTTTCTGGGTGGAGAATTCTCTGTGCAAGTCCAGATTCTGGGAAACTCCGGAGGGGAGAGATAAGAGTCTTAGCAAGTGGAATGCCCATTGTGAAGTGGCCTAAAGGGAAGTTCCCAGGGGAGGGGGTATCCATTCAATTATTTGATCAGACCTGGCAGTCAGTATACTGTATATTATATCTCCAGGACTTAGCTTTTTTTAAAAAAAAAATTTATTGTCCTGGTTGGCATGGTTCAGTGGTTGAGCGTCAACCTACGAACCAGGAAATCATGGTTTGATCCCTGGTCAGGGCATGTGCCCAGGTTGCGGACTCGATCCCCAGTGTGGGATGTTCAGGAGGCAGTCGATCAATTATTCTCATTCCTCATTGATGTTTCTATATTTCTCTCCCTCTCCTTTCATCTCTGAAATCAATAAAAAATATATTTGAAAATTTTTAAATTGGTCTGAGAGAGGGAGAAACATCAATTTGTTGTTCCACTTATTTATGCATTCATTAGTTGCTTCTTGTGTGTGCCCTGACCGGAGATAGAACCCGCAACCTTGGTGTGCTCCGGCGGCGCTCTGACTAACTGAAGTACCTGGCCGGGGCTGGGACTTACTTTCCTGTAACTGGAAGCTTACACCTCTTGACCTCCTTCACCCATTTCCCTACCCCATCATCCCCACCTCCTCACCCCCACCTCAGGCAGCCACCAATTTGCGCTCCATCTCTGTAAGTCTTCTTTTTGAGAGTCCACATATAAGCGAAATTGTACAGTATTGTCTTTTGTCTGACTTACTTCACTTGAGACAATGCCAAGGCCCATACATGTTGCCATAAATAGCAAGAGTTCCCCCCCTTTTCATGGATGAATAACATTCCATTGTGTATATATGAACCACGTCTTTATTTTTTCAAAAAATATTTTTATTGCCCTAACTGGTTTGGCTCAGTGGATAAAGCGTCAGCCTGCGGACTGAAAGGTCCCAGGTTCGATTCCGGTCAAGGGCATGTACCTTGGTTGTGGGCACATCCCCAGTAGGGAGTGTGCAGGAGGCAGCTGATCGATGTTTCTCTCTCATTGATGTTTCTGACTCTCTATCTCTCTCCCTTCCTCTCTGTAAAAAATCAATAAAATATAAAATTTAAAAATATATTTTTTATTGATTTCAGAGAGGAAGGGAGAGGGAGAGATAGAAACATTAATGGTGAGGGACAATTATCAATCTGCTGCCTCCTGCACACCACCCCCACTGGGGACAGAGCCTGAAACCCAATATGTGCCCCAACCAGGACTCAAACCATGACCTCCTGGTTCATAGGTCAATTCTCAACCACCGAGCCAGGCCAGCCAGGCATGAACCACATCTTTAAAGTTTGTTTTTAATTTATTTATTGATTTTAGAGTGAGAGGAAGGGGGGGAGAGAGAGAAGAGGAGAGAAGAGAAATACATTGATCAGTTGCCTCCCACATGTGCCCCAACCTGGGATTGAACCCACAACTCGTGGACACTTAGCCTGTTCCCATGTCTTGGCGACTGTAAATAATGAACATGGTGTTGCACATATCTTTTCCAGGTAGTGATATTGTTTCCTTCAGATAAATGCCAAAAAGTGGAATTGCTGGATCATATATAGTTCTCTCTCTCTCTCTCTCTCTCTCTCTCTCTCTCTCTCTTTCTCTCTCTTGATCAGCCCTAGCCAGTTTCGCTCTTTTGCTCAGTGGATAGAGCGCTGGCCTGCCATCTGAAAGGTCCCA